TATCAGCATCAAGACCTTTGTGAATATGAACTAGAACAAAAGTCTCAATAACAATGTGGTGCTGGAACTTCATTTTGTTTGTAAGAAGGAAAGTTTCTTTCCTCTTTCCCAGAGCTTATCTGCAAGATCTAAATTAGCTCACCAAAATATTTATTTCTGCATGATTTTCAGATAGAAGTGCCTGAATGATTATTCAACAGTGAAGAATCATGCTGCCTTACCTCACTCAATTGTTTTGATGCTTGGATATAAATGGACAAAATATTCCATTTTAGGTGAACAGGAAATCAGCAGAAAAAATGGTAGATATATTTTCAATGTCATTTTAAAAAAATGAATGTAGTTGTGGTTTAACTCTATTTTATGTGTATTCCTGATATAGTAACAAGAAAATGAATGCACAATTTGTGGTAATAACTTGTTGTTTGAGCCCATTTGTTGAAAGTCAAGTAAATATCACAGCCCTATGCTCTGAAGTTCTCTATTCAGCTGCATGTTAGCAGTGGTGCCAAAGTGCTGTTCTCTGCCCTGTACACCAAGTGCCTGGGAATGAAAAAAATAGTTTAATCTACCAGTTTGACTTGCAAAGAGGCTCTGTGGCTCAACTGGTAGCAGTGTCTCAAAGTTACATCACTGTAAAACTGATAGTCTCCATCACTGGAAATCTCCAATAAATATGAAACAACAACATAAAATACAACAGTTGGAAATACGTGGGAGTGTTCAAGACATGACATCTGTGTTGGAACATCGTATGCCACCATTTCTTTCAGCTGCTGAGAGCAGATGTCCCATATCTGCCTCTCATTCAAAAGGAAAGGAAAAATATTTAAGAGAAAAACCAGCAGCATTAGGACAGAACATTTTCGTTTTTACAGTCATGCACAGCAAAAAGGATTAAAGTGAAATGATGTTACTTTCCCCATATGCTCCTGTCTCTTAATACAGACAGACATAGTATTTATTACTGCAATCTAAAAAAAAAGAAAAGTAATTGTTGTCCTCCTTCAAGTCACATAAGCACTTGAGCCCCAGACCCCTCCATCACATCTATTTATAAAATATGTATTTGCCTTTTGAAAAAAATAAATCTTCATATTTCGATGTCCAAATTTCTTTGCACTGCAAAAAGTAAAAGGGACCCTTAAAGGGTAAATTTTCAACCTGTCAAAAAACTGTTTCTTGTGTTTCATTTGCAAGGAACCTTAAACATAGCAGAACTACTGAGAGGAACCAAGGACCTTGAAAACAAGAGGAACTTCCCAGCCCTGTATCTCACACATACTTGGGCATTCCATGTACTTCAGCAGCACCAGAAGGACTCCTCTGGTGCTGTAGAAGGACAAGGACGCCTGTAAAAGGTGACAATGGCATAGGGATGGACAGGAGATTTCCCTGCTTTTGTACCTGGTGGGTACTCGGGTACTACTAAGATGCCTGGTAGCCAATAGCAAAGCATATCACTCTTCACAAGTATTTCCATATTTCTGCTAACATGACTTGCATCACTTTGGTGGCAGAATATGTAGCATGTGGATGCCAAAAATTGTGAGGCTTAAAGACTCTTGGGCTGCACAACAGACAGTGGAACAAGAGACGGAGTTTCCCTGATATAACCACTTCTTTCTTAAATGTGAAGTGGCCTTCAAACTGAGTATAGTGTCAAAAAACTCTGTCAGGTTTTGATTGCTCAGTTGAATGGTCTAGGTAAAATTTAGACTTTGGTTGGTTTGGCAAAGTTTTTTTGCCTCATGTTAAAAGGTATATCTAGTGCTGGAGGGGATTTAGAAGAAGCTACAAAGTTATTTACTGCTGTAGAAAAGGCATGATAAATGCAGGCTTCCAACAGTCCTATGTCTTTATCAAAGAAATAGGAGATTACTTGATTACAGCATGCAATTATAATTTGGGTAGAATGGAGTAAAAGAACAGAAAAATTGGATTATGAAGTATACCATGTATATATGACAGGAAGGGCACCCCTAGTAACCAAGGACAATTGCATACTCTCTGTTTCTGAGGAATTTGCAGATCAGATCCCTTACCAGGGAACATGCTCTGTTATGTGGTCCAGCACAGCAGCAAGCCCATGAAGCTGAATGGCCTGCCCCATTCAGAGACACCTGATCATCATTTGGCCTTAAATATCTTGATCAGGCCCTGAAAAGAGGAGGAGCCTGTCCCTTAAAATACAAGGCCACCTGTGTTGTCTCCAGCAGATAACAGCACCTCTCTAATGGGACATATTAACTGTTCCTGTCAGTATGCCTAAAAAATTATTTGAAAGCATTCTTGGAGACATTTAAAATATGTATTTTTTCCTGTTTGAGCTTTACATGAAAGAATAAATCCTGAACTGATTTCAGGGAGTGAGATTTGCAATCACCTGTTAAAATCCAGTCTCTCATGAGCATTGCTAGGCAGTATTTTGGGGCTAAACTCCTGAAGATGAAAAGACAAAGCTATGCTTGAACACAGATCAGACAGGGGAAAATGCAAATGTTTAACTAGTGAAGTGACTTTATAGAGAAAACCTGAGAGGACCTGTCACAGCTCTTTGTTTTACAGACCACTTTCCTGATCATAAAGATAGGCCCTGTGTAAGGGATTCTTACCTAGACCTCCAGGCAGCTCTGAAACCTCTTGCTGAGCTGGAGCTGCTGTTGATGACTTTTTGTCAGGGCAGAGGCTCTGCAGATTGCTTGATGAGAAACTGTGTAAGGAGAAGCAATATTCCTTCTACAATTTTGAATAAAAAGAGAATTTATTTGACTATGAACTTTCAACATTCATAGGACAAGCTTGTACTGATATCCTTAAGCTCCCTGGAAAATACCGAAAGTCAGACAGTAGGGCAGGAAAACCCCTGGCAGGACATTTCTTTGTGATTTCACTTCTAGGAAGCTCACTGCCCACGCAAGATCAGCCTCTCCTAAAATGGGAACTAGAAGTTCTAGCTATTCATTTAATGTTTCTGGGGGGAAAGCTGCCCCTGTTGAAATCAAAGGGCAATTCCTGTTGACTTAAGTCACTTAATACCTTAATGCAGGTCCTGAGAGGGCAGACAAGCCATGTGAACATTAACATCTGTATCTGCAGCAGAAATACCGACAAAACTAACAGCTGAAAGAATGTTAGAAACCTGTGGAGGAATTTTCAGTAAAGACTACTCAAGCACCAAAGCACTGTTGCAAGATGGCTCCTATTTCTCTTCCACTCATCTTTCATCTTTTCCATCCACAGGGGAGGAAAAAACAGCACAGGAACTTTCATGCCCCTTCTGCAAGGTCTGGCTCGAGGCTGCTCAGAGGAGGAGTAAGAAGGCAAGGCATACCTTGGTGGGTCTCACCAGTAACCCACCAACCCAGGATGTCTCCAGCAGTGAAAAACACTAATTCAGGATATCATACACTGCCCACTTCCTCTGGTATATCCTGAGGATTGCTCAGCATCAATGGCCATTGAATTAGTGATGTTGTACAGTACATTTCTGTCTACTCTCTTTCTTTTGTTTTTAATGGACCTTTAGCCCATTATTTTTTCCATTCCGCTTTTGAACCAATTGATATTGTTATCCCCCTGGCCCTTCTGCAGCAGCTTCCAGTAGATTAACATTCACCCTGTAAAAAAGTACTGCTCTATTATTTTTGTTAAACCACTTTCTCCTTAGTTTGCATATCCTGTAGTTCTGGAATTGCATGATTTAACGAACAGTTTTGCATCTGTTGCTTGCTATCAACTGCCTTCACAATTTGGAAAACATCAGTCAGAACCCCTCCTCCTTCAGCATTCTTTCTCCAAACTGGAAAGTCCCAGCCATTTTCATTTGTCCTGTTTTCCTGTCCTCCTTCTCTGTATCTTTCCTAGCTATTCTTCCTGCAATACAGAGCCCAGAACCTCACTGATAAGACAAAATGTGTGTGCAAAAAAGTTTTGCACAGTGGAAAAAAATCATGCTTTCTGGTTTATTCACAAGACAGCACTGAGACAGGCCTGACATTATTCTGAATAAATATGCCTGGCACCACCTCCAAGAAATTTATGTCATGGGCCTGTCAAAGCTCTCCTCCTCCTCTGTCTTCAATCTTTTCTTCACCCTCCTACTGCATGTTCACATTCCTCCAAGCCAAGTCCACACTGATCTCCCATTTTTCTGCTACACCCCCAGTTTCCAAACCTCCCTTTCCAATCTAGATAGACATCCTGCATGAACTGATTTACTGTGCACAAAACACTGCTGAAAACACTATGAAAAAATATGGGAGATGTGCACCACTGTCTTATCCTAGAGCTAGCCTCACCCCAGAGCTAGCACCCCCATTTGCATTGCTGTTGGCAGCAGTTGTTACCATGTGTAAAATGTAAAAACATATTCTTTTCCCATATCTCTGCTTGAGCTTCTTGTGTGCAAGTTTGGAGGGGCCAGGCTCACCTTAGCACAGTGGATCAAGCCACAGTGCATCAGAATGCATTTCAACATCTGAGCCACAGAGCCTGCTCCTCCCATAGTTTTGACTTCGGTGCTGAACATCAGCACCAGATGAGACAAAGCAGCACTTCTAGTAAGGAGAAGGGAGGAAAGGAGGAATACTATCAAATTCCACCTCTCCTTCCCTCCATCTTTGCTTCTGCACAGGAAGTCCATTATTTTCACAGCTGTTTTGCCAACACTAGAAAGTGTGTGGTGGAAGAGGCACTAACCAGAGTAAAGCATGCAGACACCAGCTCTCTGTTAAAAGGAAAATTGTCAAGCATATGGTTTGGATTTCCACAGTGAGGAGCTTGGGAAGGGCATTTTTTCAGGAAACAACTCACCCACCATTGCTGAGGTGCACAGATTTTGCCTGTGCCCCCTGCTATGCCTTCAGTTTGCTGCTGGCCTTGCTTGTGCCTTTTCCATGACACCCACAACTGCTGCTGCCAAGGACAATTTCCTTCCACAGTAATGTCAATTCTGACATAATCTTAAACAAGCATCACTAGTGGGATTTAGTAAAAGAAATCTACTGGTAGTTTTATTTTGCAGTGGAAATCTGTAAAGCATATTTAAAATCTGCTTGTATTTTACAAGAAGGGTCTGACTTGGTTCATCACAAAATAATGGAATTCTGACATTGATCTGAGAATGACTGAAGTGAGCAAGAATACCATAGCAGTCCTAGAATTTACTAGATTATAACACCAGACATTTTTTTTAATAATATTTAAAATAAAATGTTTCACAAATGAACCTCAAAGGCTTAAATTAGTTTAAATTTGTTAGAAATGCATAGCCCAGTGATTGTGTAACTTCACGGAAGGTACAGAGTTTATGGCAATATCAGTGAAAAGAGAACATTTTCCAGACATTACCACAGACAAATTATATAAAAAAACATTCATGCTGCAGAGTAATACAAAATAAAAATCACCTGATCAGCTCAATCAATATTGATTTATATCTTTGAATTAACAAAATTTCTCTGTACAGTTGCAATAAGACTTCAGTTTTACAAACTGATATTTAGTTGAACATATTTATAATACAAACTATACACTATGTACAAACCTAGCTCTCCACAGAACCCTTTGTTCAGAATGCTTCAACACAGAAGTGATTTATCAATTTCTAGGTCAGGATTCTAGCTCTTCCTTTAATTTAAATACCAAAACACTTATCAAAACATGAAAATAAGCCCATTTGCTATCACATGGTGCTGTTCTTAAGTCACTTGTTTGTTACCATATGTTACAGAAGATTAGAACCAGTCACAGCAATAAATAAATGTGCTTATTATCTACTACAAACTTATATTCACATGATCAAACTTTCAACCTGAGTGCTTTTACAAGACTGTAGGATCCATTGATCTTTGCTTGTCTTGACACGTATATCAAAATTGCAACGGCAGGTACCGCTACTGCTGCTACAGATGAGAATGCAATAACCAATGGTATCATCTGATCTGCTTCTTCCAATCTTGCTGAAAATGGAGACAAAAGGAGAACAAAAACGTGTAAATATTGTTTGAAACTGATATATATGCATCACTGTAAAAGCAGTGTTATTAATGACCTTAATTTGGAATACATTTCTGTTTTCATGCACAAAGCATACTTCTTGTGTTTTCCTTACATTTTTTTCTTTAGTAACTTTATTACATTCCTAGTCACTATCTTGGTCTTGAATTTGCTAGGCAAGTTCAAAGCTATCTGATATCATCTACAACCAAGAATATAATGAAATTCACAAAGAATACAACAGGAATACTACATATTATACCCAGGAAACTGTCTTGCAAGAATCAGCTATGAACTAGTGCTCACCTTGACACAAATTTCACTGAAAAGTACAAACAAAATAGGTTTAAGGTAATAGACCCAGCTACCTACAACAGCTGTCTCAATCTCTGTAATGTTGTTCCAACCTTACTGAAATATGAAGGACATATATGCTGGTATAATTTTTGGTGACACTGCAGATTATAAAGTTTCCGTTCACTGATGGCTGAACAATTTCTCCTGATGGGCTTTTTTCCAGGACCATCTCTGAGGGTGGATGTGTTACATGTAACAGTGGTATTTTCTACTTATTTAACATTTTCTGATGGATATACTAACATACTAATATTTTAGAGAGGAACTGAAAAGAAATGCAAGGTAGGATTTAGCAACAAACAAGCAAAACACAGGAGGCATCAGCAGCTTTTACATGCAAAATAGTATTCCAATTAATGGGCCCACTGTAGTAGTTGAACATGTAGCTTTAAACACTGCTCTGTCACCAGCTGTCCTCTACCACTGAAGCAACCAGCAGCTGGCAAAAAGAACATTTTATCAAATAATAGAGTATGTTGCATAACTTTGACATTACATGGACCCTCTTCTTTTTTTAAATTTCAAATTCACTGTTTATTTGTTTGAGTTCATGAAAGGGCACAGACCAACAACCCAGAGGCTGATGTCCTCTTTCAACAGACAAAAAACAGAAAAGGCAAAGGAAGGAGTCCTAGAATTGTATTTTTTTTTTCGCAAGGTTCCTCAATTTTATATCCTGTTTTCAAAAGTTGAAGTGGAAATATGAAAAGTTTTGATGCAGCAATTATTTTATACATGTGCTATTTTGGACAGAAATTTAATTAGCATTAAGACCCTATCCCTTATGACAAGAATTTGTGCAATTCATGTCAGCTTTTTTAAAGACAATTCATTCTTAATGAAACTGAAGCTGTCACTCTTTGTAAAACAAATCCTAATATGAACTCTGCACAGCAGTTATACTAACTAACCTTTGACATAAGTACTATGTGCTGAGACTGTTCCCCCAGTTCATTAGCTGTGTATTTTCCTGCATCCCTTAGCCGAGCTCTGTCTGTGGTATATTTGCTATCTACTGTTTCTAGGGTTGTGAACCCATCACCAGCTTTCTTTTACAGACTACTCCTAAGAGATGTAACACCAGCAGATATGCAAGGAATGGTAGCACTTTGTCCTTGTTTCGCTCTGCTTGAAGGGGAAATCAAAAGTGTAATTTTTTGGTGCAGCTATAAAAATAGTAAAGAACAGGGAAGAGAGCTGAATTGGTGGCAGAAGTGATCCCTAAGCAAGGCACTGTTGCTATGCAATAGGCAGAAGCAGCAGAGCTAAAGCAGAGAAGTCTGATTACTATTGAAAATGAAACTTCGCTATCATTCTGTCTAAGTTGAGGAATCAGCATTCCTTGTAACTTAAATGCAGGAGCAGGAAACAGAGTTGTGGCTTAGGGAAGAAGCAAGGAGCTGTAATACAGTGTTTCCACAGAGCAGCTTCAGCATGTACTGTCTCCTTTAGTCTTTCCTATGCAGATATCCGCTGAGGCCTGCTTGGAAGGATAATTCCTTCCAATTTTTAGAACTTTTCATAAGCTATCTGTACTAAGGCAGACTTCATGCTTCATTGTTTAAAGTTTCCGAAATCACTTAGTGACAGTATGGCCACCTTTTAACTCCATTGACATCAAAGACACAATTATCTCATTCTTCAAAAGAAGATCTGGACCTAAAATACACAAACCAAAAAAATTGTTTTCTGTCTTGTTCTACAAACCTTGAACATATAATTTCACAGCTTTTTCTTCCTTGCCAAATTGATTATGAGCTTCACATTCATAAAGCCCCAGATCTTCACTTTTCAAGTTCCATATAGTTAAAGTAGCATTTTTAGAAATTTTCTCAGACTCCCCGGTGGCCTTCTTTTTCTTCCAGGAGATCACAGGAGCTGGATTACCAGAACTAGTACATTTCATTGTCACAGTTTCTCCTTCTTTAAGAACAGCAGTGGGTATTATAGTGATCATTGTATTCCTTGGTCCATCTGAAAGAAAGAGTCCCATAGTTAACCATCACTGTTTTTTTTTAGAGATGGATCCAACATACCCTATTGGATACTAGATTTTCACTCTCCCAACCTAATTTCTCTTTCATTCTCAAAACAAAAGTGAAGTACACGGCATCAGAGTTTCCATACAAAGCCTCCATAGTCTAATCATTCTAACCAAATACTTCTAACCATGTAGATCAGTTTCTCACTCATTCAGATCTGTACTAAAAACTGTCATCACATTAAGATTTCATGACTTTGTTTTGTTCTTCAGCACTGCTCCTTTCTTAGGGAAAAGCAGAGGACAACGATAATTTTTTGTTCTCACAGGGTTTTGTTAATTTGATGGCTATATTTATCACCGAAGAACTAAATAATTAATTTTACATGAATGGGAAAACTTTATACATACTTACATGTCACATTAAGCGTGATTTCACTTTTTCTCTTCCCAAACTTGTTTTCTGCTAGACATTCATAGTCTCCTCCATTTTGGAACATCACAGATGGAAGAAGAATACTCCTGGCACTGTAAGGCCTCATGTCTGCATTGTCAGATTTTCTCCTTAAAATAATCTTGGGAGGAGGGTTACTTTCAGCAGAACATTGTATGGTAACATTTTCTCCTTCTTGAACTGTTGTAGAAGGTTCAATGGAGAGTTTTGTAATGACTGGAGCACCTGAATGACAAAAGAAAAGGCTGTTAGAGTAATGCAAAGGTGCTAAAGATGGATAGGGTTTAAGAAAGCAGGAACTGCTTGCTCAAGGATCTATTTTGATCCCAGACTCAATCTAGGACTTTTGGCTCTGTCAAAACATCAGTCAATCAATCAATCATAAAATATTACAACAATAATATTATTATGTCCAAAACAGTTTTACCATTAAATGCCTATTAAATTTATTACGAATGACTAAAACTACTAGTTCAAAGAAGGAGACTCCAATGTCCCTGTGAAACTGGTACACACATTGTATTTCAAGGAATGTGTCCCCACCACTTTCTCAGATTCATTTATAACTTTTAGTGTTGCATTTTGGAAATGTATAGAACTGTGCACATATGACAGCAGTACTGAGAGAATTAGCTGAAAATTAAATATAGAAAGAAAAAGTACAGCCCATGAGGAACAGCCTTAAATTGAAGCTGAATCCTGAATATGTAGCAAGGAAAGCCCCATATTTTCCTAATTTTCGGTGTTTCAGCATCCTCAAACCTCACAGAGCTCAGCTAGTCAGGTACTGGATAATATAAGTGAAACTCAAGCAGAGTTGTACCTTGTATAAGAATGTCCACGGTTGCTTTCTCTCTTTTATTAGTTACCAGATTAATTACTTCACAGATGTACCGTCCTGAATCATTGAAATGGACAAGGGGAATAGAAAGAACATTGTTTTTTATCAGATGCTGAATGCTTTCTTCAGCCAAATATTTACTCCAAACTATTTTTGCTGGAGGGTTACTCTGAGTCACACAAGTGAGGTTCAGAGAGTCTCCTTCCATCAGCGAGTTGCCTGGAGATGCAGTAATGACAGTATTTTGTGGACCAACTGTAAGAGCACAAAAGGAAGATAAGATCAGTATGTAAATAAAGAATGACATGCACATCTCTAACACTAGCTTTTCTAGAGGTACATGTCACAGACAACCAAGAAAAAAGTGAAAAATGTGTATCCCAGTAGCACAATGGAACAATTTTTCCAGACATAGTAAGATGTTTTGCTTGCATCTTTAAAAGCTAAACTAGCCAAGCCCTTGTACAAAAATACTTACAATTTGCATTAAATTTCTGAGAAGATGTTCTTTCATTGGGTTCAAAACCCATATTAGCAATTAGTAACTTGGCCACACAGGTAATCTCTTTCCCAATATCTTCAACCGTGGGATGAAATGTATATGTCACAGTTTTGGTCTCTGTATTTGTGCTGTCATCTTCAAAAAAATGTTTCTCATGAAGAACATGTTCATCTTTCTTTAGGACAACTTCCAGGTGGTCAGAAGGATACACATCAGGAATTTTACAGATGACAGTGGCTGGTTCTCCGGCAACTAAGGACTGGCTGATCTCAATGACAGGATCACTGGGGAAAGCTAAAAGAATAAAATCAATTTCTTTAGACTAGCAGAGATGAATAGTAGGGTCAACATAAGAGCAAGATCCAGACACCAAATATCTTGAGTTTAGAGGTGCTCAGAACATGACATTCTATCAACATTATTACAAGGCATATCCTGACCTGAAGACCTATAAGTCCTTTATAAGCAGTTCATACACTAACAGGAATTTTATTTGCACAATTGCTAAAACATGATCACAACAGGTCTAGTAAGATTCAGCATGGCACCTAAGCAGTGATACAGCTGCCAAACTGTAGGCATTCAGAGCAATCCATACACTAGTGCTATCCTGTTTTCTGGGCTGGTAGGTTTGCACATCTGAATTACTCCCCTGCAAACTACAAAGGCTTTGATTTTTTTTCTCCCTGAGCACTGGGAATGCATTCAGGCAAATGTATGTTTTGGCTCTCAAGGATTACCAAAAATAAGAATAAAAAATAGTAATACATACAATCTTCAGTGCAGAAACCTAAGCAGAAAAGCGCTAAGAAAGTGTCCTGAACAGATATACAAAGGAATCTTAGAAGGAAGTATATGTTGAGCTATAACAGACTCATCCTAGAATTAAAAGTTAACTGGTAACCACAATGTCTAAAACAATTATTGAGTTTTCTATCAACATGTACTATTTAAAGAAAATTTTATATTTTTACTTACAGTAAAGTTCAACTTTGACAGTCTTCTCCTTTATCCCTCTGCCATCACACATGACAGTACAAAGGTAAGAATGAGAATTCACAACTCTAACTGGATCCATAGTCAATGTAGAATGTGTCCTGTAGTTGCTGACTTTTCCTCCAAGGGGGCTGTCCATCTGTGTTCTCCAGGAAAAACTTGGTGATGCACAGCCAGTAGTATTGCATGTGAGTATGAGTGTGTCTCCAATCTGTGCCACGATTCTCCCAGCAGGTATAATTTCCATTTCAAAAGCTTTAACTACAAAAGGGAAAACACACATCAATTCAGCAGCTTTCTCAACTTTTAGCTTCCTATTTCTTCTCATGTTCATGTTCTACTGTGACATGAGGTCTTTATGCTTCACTTCTTTATAGTTGTGTGGAAGTTAAACTAATAAAGCTCGTACTGTGGTATACATATTCAAAACACCCTGTAAACATTGCTATTTTTGTCAAAGACAATACAGGCTCAGGTGACTAACAGACAGTTTTCATGTATAAAATGGCATAAATCAAATTTAAATAAATGCATTGGCTCATTATAACTTTTTTAGTCAGGTGGATTTGGTTCTGAAACTTTGTAACATTTGAGGGGAGAGGTAGAATGTAGACAGCAAAGACAACAGCAGAAACACTTTCAACAGGACATTTAGTACCAAACTTGCCAGATACTCTCAGGAACGACAGTAAAAATCAAGCATGCAGTGATATACTGCAGTTGTCTCCTAGACTGTCGTTTAGCAAACTCAATAGGAAAACGACTGAGTCACTGCAGAGCACAGAAAAGTTCAGAGTAAATGAAACAAAGCTTCCTGACATTTTGACAAAAGTACTTAATTGTCAGTTGTATTCACTGAAATGAAAAGGCAACTGGAGAAAAGAGAAATAAAGATCAAACAGTAAATTTTAGGTCAGTTTACACTTAACAAAGTTAAAACAAATAAAACAAGCACCACCAACACCCACCCTCCTCAACTTACCAGTCCTTAACACACATAAAATTACTAGCACAGCCAGGCTTGTCCTTCCCATCTCTTTTAACATTTGTAATTGCTGTTACTGGGTAAAGAAAGTAAATTCAAAAGTTTACTTTCTATTTCCCGTGAAGAAGCACTGTGAGATCTTGCTACTCTGCAACAGCTTGTTACACGAGCTCCAGCGTGCCCTTTATAAAGGCAGAGTGGGAAATCCCTGGACGGGGAAATCCAGAGCAGGGAGGAGGAGACCGAAATGGATCGGGGAATGTCCGCTGGCTCAGCGCCCTCTGCTGCTTTTGTGAGAGCCCAGGAAAATAAACAGTAACAATTGTAAATACAGTGCCCACTACATTTGAAAAAATCCGTTTCAGATCTGATCCTGCAAACAACTGATAAAATGAAAGAATGTGCGTAAGTCCAAGAAATTGAATGTAACTATATCTCAGATGAAAAAGTTATTCAAATTTGCTTTTAATGAAAATATTTTTGTGGGACTGAGTCTTCAGAACATTTCTAACAATGCTCAGCTCTGTAAATAGCATTAGATGACTCAGTATTTCCTTTGAAAACTGTGCTACCAGTCTAAGTATTTTTGATCTCTAAAAATGAAGAAATACTCAGATAACAGAAGTCTGGAGATCTGACTTAATCAGCTTGAATCAGGCTCATACTGTTCAAATAAACTAATATTCCCAATGCCATTTTGCAGTGGATATACAAATCCAGTTTGGAATATTTCTGAGGACAACTCTTACGGCAGCAATGTTAGGAAAAAAAAATTAAAAGACCATTTTCTGTGTTTGTTTGATTTTCAGCTGGAAAATGTTGTGAATGCAAAGAATGGTTAAAGTTTTCTAAATCTCAGTTGTTTGTTTATTCAACTACTTCAGTAATTCAAGTACTACAGAGGCATCTGGACAGGCTGGATAAATTTGCTGAGGCCAGTTTTATGAGGTTCAATGCGGGGAAGTGCCAGGTCCTGCTCTTGGGTCACAACAGCCCCTGCAGCACTACAGGCTTGGGGGAAGAGTGTCTGGAAAGCTGCCCAGTGGGGAAACGCCTGGAGTGCTGGCTGACAGCTGCTGAACACGAGCCAGCGTGTGCCCAGGTGGCCAAGAAGGCCAGTGGCATCAGGAATGGTGTGGCCAGCAGGAGCAGGGCAGGGATTGTGCCCCTGTACAGGTGAGGCACCACCTGGAGTGCTGTGTCCAGCTGGGGGCCCATCACCTCCGGGAAGACACGGAGGGGCTGGAGAGCATCCACAGAACAACAGAGCTGGTGAAGAGGCTGGGGCACAGGTCTGATGAGGAGTGGCTGAGGGAGCTGGGGTTTAGCCTGGAGAAAAGGAGGCTCAGGGGGAGCCTTATCACTCTCTACAGCTCCCTGAAAGGCGGCTCCGGTGAGGTAGGGGTCGGTCTCTTCTCCCAGGTAACATGTGACAGGACAAGATGAAATGGCCTCAGATAACAACAGGAAAGGTTTAAATCATGTATTAGGAAAAAGTTTTTCACTGAAAGGGTGGCCAGGCATTGTAAGAGGCTGCCCAGGGAAGTGACAGAACTATCATCCTTGGAAGCTTTCAAAAATGTGTGCTTGTGGCAGGTAGGGAGATGATTTATGGGTGAACATGGCAGTGCAGGTTTAAGGGTTGGATTTCATTTTAGAGAGCTCTTCCAGCCTAAAGAATTCTATGATTCTATACTGGTCAATTAAAAATCACTAAATAAAAGAAGAAAGAAATTAAAAATGAACATATATTTTTAAAATGTCTCTGGCAAATCACTTGGTATGTAATAGTTTGGTCATTTGATGTCTATATTTTATGAACAACACAGATTCAAATATCTACTAAGTGAGTAATAACTAGGAAAAATAAAGTCTGAAGTAACAATGCTGTAAATGATAAAGAAATGTATTTGCTGAAAAGTTGGCTCTACATCAATATGTATTGTAAGTCAGTCAGAGTTTCCATGGTTAATAACCTCATGCTAACTCCAAAATACCATGCTCAGGTGAGAGTTGCATCAGAGGATGTAAGGGTCCTGCTGTCCTACAGGCAGCATGTCTTCTTAAGGAACTGTTTTTTATTGCTTTTTACCTGACTGCAGCTGCTACCACACCTTTGCATCCTCATCAAAGGATAGCTGGACAGTACAAGCTGCCACAGAAACACACTGGGTAAAATACGAAGCATCAACAACTTTTTTCATGCATTCATCACAAACTCATAAATATAAAAGGGATGAAAGATCATGAAAAGATAAATTTGTGATCTTAGGCAGGAAGTATGTAGTAATAATAATAATAATAACAAATGAAAAAACCACCCAAGACAATCCAAGAATTACCCAGAAGGCAATAAAACAGGGGAACCTGAAGCATCTAGAAATGCCTAACCAAAAGTCACTAAACTAAAATTCAATTAAATTGCTACAATGGATTCTACCATAATATTTTATTTTTATAATCACCATCATAATTTTTTTTTTGTTAGGGGAGGAGGAAAAGAAGGAAAAGGAGGAGAAGGTGGAGAAGGAGGTGGAGAAGGAGGAGGAAGAATAAAACACTCCTAAGTGTCACAAAGTGCAAGCAGAGTACTGTTCTGGAAGTACTGCTATCAAATCCAAAAATCCTAAAGCTATCCAAGATAGGAAACAACACATCTACACAATGTGATTTTACTGCAGAGAAAACGGTTTTGTTGAAGGAAAGTGTACCCTCTCACTTAAATTGCAAATAATTACTTTTAAATCATAGTCAGAGAGAAGCAAGAAATGAAACTTCTGCTTGGACTGCTTAAATAATCATCAGAAGCTAAGCTGAAAGAAAAGGGCAATATTTCCTTGCTTCTGGGAAATCAGTTTCTACACAGAAAAAAAATAAACATATGAGGACATATCTGCACTCTGGAAAAGTTTTAATCAAGTCCTTCATCAGATAACACGAAATAGGAAATAAGTCTGATCCTGCTCCCAGGAAATTAAACTGGACGGCTGCCATTAACTTTACTGGAGCTGGATCCTTACCAGAATAACTAGTACACTGACTGATCAGACAAATTCAACTCGGATAGTTTAGGTAAGAGCAGAGTTAGCCAAGAAATATTACTAAAGGAAGGACAAATCTGCCAAAAATTTAAAAAGTTTTTTAAAACTTTCTCTTTACACAAATTCAAATGTGAGCCTTCTGTGTATTTTAAATAGAATATGTACATTACTGTTGCTCCTACTACCCTCAGCATCAACCTCAAAAATAGGAAAATAAGCACCAAGTTGTGTTATTTTCAGAACTGTTTTTTCTGTCTGTAAACAAATAGAGATCATCTGACAAGTTTTAGCACTTGACCTTGAGAGTTCAGATAATCTAGCTTTTTATTCAAACAGCACAGAGGAGGATGCTGGGGGTAAAAATAGAGGATGCATCAACTTCCACAGTGAGATAAGTATTATAGGACCAACTGGAGGAAATCTTGACACATGCAGAGTGTAATGAGGACTGAAATGAAAAAAGTATTACAAGAATATTACTAAAGGCAAAAAAGATTAAAAGATTTAAGCACTGGGATGTAATTACATGTTTTTCAATACATCTGTTAATCAAAAGAGACTTCTAAAGCTTTGATGGACAAACAAAGATAAAACAATTATGTGTTGTGAAACAGAGTTTGGAAATACTGAATACAATTTTTGGCCTGATATAAGAAAACACAAGTGTCCTTCAGGATACTAAAATTTACATCAGACTTTTCTGGAATTTAAGAAATGAAACCACTTCAGAACTGTGCTAAGCATTTCCTTTAACTCATATTTTGCAATCCTGTTAAATACCTACATGATGTGCTTATTAATTTCCTCTAAGCAAGAGAAATTAGAAGTTCTTGAAATCTTAATGAATTATTTGAAAAAATGCATGTTATCCAACATGTTAGCTATCCAAAATTTATATACCTCTTCCTGCATTTTTAATATGCTACCCTGTTTCATGGAGGCTATTAGGGGAAAACTGAAAAGCTAATCTTTTGCAGAATTTGAACTCTTAAAACTTTCACCACCAGTTTTTTAATTTATGGCCAAGGACCTATGGTGAAGAGAAATTATCCTTTTGGCAGAGGAAATTTAAGAAAAAAGAAGGCAGAAGGAAACTCATCTAATCTGATATTCTGTTTCTTGTGTCAGCAATAAAATTCTTCATTCCACTTCATTCCTATATAGAGGCAGGATTTGGGACTTCCGCTAAAAATATTCAGTGCTGGAATCATAACTTCTGTACAAGACCCCAACACAGAAACATATTACTAAAGATCTGTGTCCCATCAACTTGAGATGTCAGAATCCTTCTGTGGAAGGCTTGACATTCTGGTGAGAGGATGCAGCAAAGTATGACTCAACAGTTCTTCAGCCTCATATCAAAGAGGTGTCACAGCAAGTCCATACTTAGGTCCCCCATTCAAACTGCAGACCTCACACATCTCAGAAAAAATATTCTTGGGATGTGCACGGGGGGTCTGAGTAAAGAAAGCCTCAGAGTTTTGGATGCTTTACAGAAGTAGCTGGGATGAAGAGCTTTCCCCCCATACAAAGAGTGTCTCTGCACAATGATTGTGCCTAAAGAAAAAGAGCCAGAGGACTGTGCTGGAATTCAAATGAGAACTAATCTCAGAGGGAAAACTCACATGCATCAGCAAAGAAGGAATGCCCTTCAGGCACCACATGCAACGTAGTACCTTTAATATGGTCGGTCATATCTTGATAAGTAAGTGAAAAAAAAATGAAGCTGAACAACATGTATGAAGACTGCTGATTACATGGCTACACGGATTACAGCAGGAAATTATCTGTCAGCCTCAACATTTTCAGTTCTCAGCAACATCAATAGCCTGCTCTATGGGTTATACACTGTCTCCTTCCTCAGAACACCTGGATTTTTGGTTCCCAATCTTCCCTAACATTTTGCTTCTCCTGACTCCCTCCACCTGCTTTCTCACCACCTGACAGTAATGCAACCTCTGTATAGCCCCAAGAGGGGGAGGAGAGCATCACTGACTCCCTATAATTTTCATCTCCGGATGGGAAGGATGAGATCTACATGCAGATCTATTTAAAGGGTTGTGTCTGTTTCAGGAATTGTAACTTTGTACCTAACCACAAAAAGAACACCAACGCATTA